ACACCACATCACATTGCATCACACCGCATCACATTACACCACAGCATTACACCACACCGCATCAGATCACATCACACCGCATCACATTACACAGCAAATCACAACACATCACACTACACCACATCAGATCCCATCACAACGCATCACATTACACAACAGGAAATCACGTCACACCACACCACGTCAGATCACATCACACCACACCACCGCATCACATTACACCATCAGATCACATCACACCGCATCACATTACACCGCAGCAAATCACAGCACATCACACCACACTACATCACATCGCATCCATCACACCGCATCACATTACACCACAGCGTTACATCAGATCACATCACACCGCATCACATTACACAGCACATCACAACGCATCGCACTACACCACATCAGATCCCATCACAACGCATCACATTACACAGCAAATCACAACACATCACACTACACCACATCAGATCCCATCACACCGCATCACATTACACCATCAGATCACATCACACCGCATCACATTACACCGCAGCAAATCACAGCACATCACATCACACCGCACCACATCAGGTCACATGCATCACACTACACAACATCACAGCACTGTTCATCGCCACACAACACATCGCCACCTCACAACATCATACACATCGAAACACAGCAAAAGAAATCACATCACCGTCGCAACACATTACATCACATCACACCGCACCCATCACTCCCAACAAAGCTCTCTTTTCATGTCAAAAATACAATACAATTTCGGACTTCATTTAAACTGTTGTGAGTGCAAACATTTTTGTTTTGTTTTTAGTTTTGAATATCTGATGTGGTGTGGTGTGATGCGCTGTGATTTGCTGTGGTGTAATGTGATGCGGTGAAACGTCATGTAACGTGGTTTGATGTGGTGTGGTGTAATGTGATGTGCTGTGATTTGCTGTGGTGTAGTGCGATGCGGTGTAATGTCATGTGAGGTGATGTGATGTGATGTGCTGTGGTTTGCTGTGTTGTAATGTGATGCGGCGCGATGGGATCTGATGCGCTGTGGTGTGATACGATGTGCTGTGATTTCCTGTTGTGTAATGTGATGCGGTGTGATGTGATTTGATGCGGTGTGGTGTGATGCGAGGTGCTGTGACTTGCTGTGGCGTAGTGTGATACGGTGTAATGTCATGTCACTGCATGTGATGTAGTGTGACGTTGTGACGTGATGTGCTGTGATTTGCTGTGGTGTAATGTGATGCGGTGTGATGTGATTTGATGTTGTGTGGTGTGATGCGATGTGCTGGGATTTGCAGTGGTGTAATGTGATGCGGCGCAATGCCATGTCAGGTGATGTGATGTAGTGTGAGGTGGTCTGATGTGATGTCTGTTGTTTCTATGTGTTTGGATGGGCCCACCTTAGATGCTGACATGGGCAGCTGCGAGGAGTGGTGCGTGAAAAGTGCGTGAAAGGCTGTTTTAGCCGTGAAAGACCAAGTTGTCTCGTGAAATTTGCGTGAATGTTTGACACGGTTTTCCGAACCAGATGCTGCTCATGAAACATTAGTCTTTTGACAAGCCTCTGTAGGTTTCGAGCGTCATCATAGGGGCTGGTCTCGGGGTGGCACGATGAGTGAAGAAAACCTGTGTGAATCTTTTGGTTTGAATACATTCGTCGCCTGGGTTGCCACAACGTCCCTTCAGCCTTCCAAGCGGTCACCCCATTGGTTGAACACGATTCCTAAACTTCTTTTATTCAAGTTACAAGGGGCGCCAGTTCCCAACTACAAACTGCAGCTTGTGCGGTTGAAGCCTCTTGGTTGGATTTAATTTGCGGCAGGAAATTCTGAAAGCAGCAAAGGCACTAGTTTTTAACTACCAACTGCATCTTGCGTAGCTGCGGTTCTGTTGGTTCACAATTGGTTTTGGGTGAAGATTTTGCAGGCAGAAAAAGGCACCAGCTTCGGACTGCGAGCTGCAGCCTGTAAGGCTCAAATCCAGATCAAGCAGGCTTTGTAAAAGGACATTCTGCGAGCGGCTGCCAACTGCAACTTCTGAGCCCTTTGCGGCCCAAACTTGTGTTTGCAGAAATCTTAGCTGCTGTAGCTGGGGCCTCGTGACCTCATTTGGACTACATGGGCTTTTAAGGGGTCATAGACCAAACTGTAACGACGAAGATGTCCCATCTGGGGCTTCATCCTGGCCACGCGCAATCAGGGCAACGTCTAGGGGTTTCCTCCCGATTACGCGTTGCCAGGGTGAGGTCTGCGCCAAGGTGCCGTAAGTTGTTGGCAACTTCTGCCTTGTGGTTTTGATGGTTGCTTTCGCATTTTTCCCGAACATAGATCAGGCGTTCTCCCGCCGCGCAAGCTGCAGCTTGCAGTCCGCAGCTGGTGCCTTTTGCTGCCTGCAGGAACGAAAGTAAAGCCAATTGTGAACCAGCAGAACCTTGCGCGGCGGCGAAGGTGCAGTTGGTAGTTTGGAATTGGTGCCTCTTGCTGATTTCAGAAATTCCTGTCGCAAATTAAATCGAGCCAAGAGGCTTCAACCGCGTGAGCTGCAGGATGTTGGTGACTGATAGGACCTGCGCCTATAATGTTTCACTTGTAGAACCAGAACAAACAATGAAATAATGTATAAACAACAATGTTGCCTCTGCCCAACTGTCCCTGCTTTGACACAACAGGCCTCATGCTTCATTGCGCAACTCGCCATGGTTCATGTCGCGTGTTCAGACTTCCTCCTGTGCCACAACGCTTGAACCACCTTCTCGCCCCGCTGCGCAAATTCCAATTGATATAGCCAAAAGTCCAATTCATTCACAGGCGCCGCGTGCCTGGTCAGGCTGGTTGAGTCCAGTAATTAGAGCGCGTCGTTGGGCCCAGGTGTTTTGATCCTGGCGTCATTTTCGTCCAATTGCGTTGAACCTTGATCAGTGAGCATAGAAGAGATGCGCTGCAGACAGTTCCACTTGCGTGACTAGCTGGGGCCCGCAGCAAGCTGTTCCGTACTCACGCAAGCAAAGTGTGCGGAACCGCTGGAACCATGGCAAGTTGCATGCGGGAACCACTGCTGGTCCAAGCTGGGGTAGTCGAGCCATCGATTTTGCTTGGAGACGTACGAGCGCTGGGCAAGCAGTTTGTACGAGCATTGCGCGAGCAATACTCACTTAGTAGTAGACAATGGGTTTTGCCTGGAAACAGCTGTTGTTAGCACAAGAAAGTTTGCACGAGCATAGTGCGAGCAGTTTGTACGAGCATTGAACGAGCAATACTTTGTTTAGTGTTACTCCACTTGGCCAAGAGCCTACAGATGACAGCGCGCAGAAATGACCTTCTAGAGTGGAGGAAGCCATTGTATATCCGGATTACGCTGTCGGTCCGGGAGAGAGATGCCAACTGCCCAACATGATACACGCCCGCTCTTAAGCTTTGAGCCCGAACATCTCCGAAGAACAAACGTTAGCATGAGCAAGAGAGAGGACACACATTGACCTGATCATCGCAATGGCATATTGTCCCAAGGTTCTGCTTGCCGAAGATCTCCTTATGGAAGAGACTCATCTCCATGGAGTTGCATTGCTTCCTCGCTCTGTATGTCCCGGAGTTTCCCACCATGGTTCTAGTAGTAGGCAGTGTCTTTCAAGTTTCAATCCGTGTGCATATCTTTGCATCGATCCAACCAAGATGTGACTGTATAATATTGCGCATGTGTCCAGGCAACACGTCGGAGCCTCCCGATGTTTTGGCTGGCTACGGAACCATTTTTCCAATGTGCTAGCGTTCCGCATATTCAGGCTGTTGGGCCGAGTTATGAAAAATCGCTCCATGGCAACACTCCTAACGCTACGAGTGGAAAGAGGTTTGTGCCTGTTGTGTTCTTGTTTGTTCTGTGCTTGGTTCCAACAGATCCGCTCATGTGCGATTTCCGTTGGGCATATTTGGCTCAAGCAAGGTGCGTTGCGCACGCGTGCGACAGTACAAGGTGCAACCAGCTTGGGTATTGATATATTTGTCTGCGTTGGGAGCCAAACGCTGCGATTGTCATATTTTGCTTTTCTACCTCAGCATCTACATCTGGCACCTCGCCGGAATAGAGCCATATTCGGGACCTACAAGGTTCTTTTTCGAGCCCCGCCTGCGAACCTGAGAGGGGGGTCCTAGACAGACCATGCGCCGGGGCCCATAGTCGGGCTTTATTTTGTGCTTGCGCACGCTTTGCACCATGCTTCTGCATGTGGACGAGTTGCGGGGAGACTTTTCTGCACGCGCCCCGAGGACCTGGACATTTGGCGGATATCTTGTGGAGCTCACCGCGTTCAGCTCGACGAGGGTGTTAAAATCACTGTGCAAACGGCCTGGTTTCCGTGGCTCGCAAGGAGTGTCAGGCAGAGTCAGGCCTTGAGTAGGGTGAATTTGAGTTTGTCTTTGGTTTGCAGGTCCAGTGTTTCGGATGTGGGCCGCGCGGGGACAGCTCCAATCCAGGCGTTCATGAAAAAGGCTGGCGCGCGCAGCAGATTCAAACTGGCAGTCGTTCACAGCTTGTCCTGGTCGATTGCGCTGCGTGTTTGTGCTTCTTTGCTGCAAATCCAAGATGGCGCGGGTCCATTTGTCTCATGTCAAGCAGCTCTTACAGTTGCGCTCAGACGGCTTGAGATTCTCACGCAGCCAGCTAAAGCTGAGAGTAACGGTCTTGTGAGCTGATAGCGTAAAAGGGCTGAGCCTGATAGTGCAGGAAGCTGAGTCTGTGTTTGTGTGTGCGTTCCGCTTTGGCCGAGCCATTTACGTCTTGGTGAATGTACGAAAGAGATGGAGTTTCAATTGCTCTTGTCCCCGCAGAAGGCTCTCAGGGCGGTTGTCAAACAATGCGCTGCGAGGGGCTCCCTCCAGATTTCTCACGGAGTCACCGTGCAAAGTAGGAAAGAAACCAAATGTGTAGTGTGATAGACCCATTTTGTTTGCCATTGAGCAGCCACCTTGAGTCATCATAAAACACACGCACGCACAGCTCTTTGTTTCTTCAAGCGCGAGCTGCACGGTACTCGACTGTCGAACAGGGTCCTGCAGTTCTTGCGCCACATGCCTGCCCCAGCATGTGTTCCAGGACTAGCTTGGAGGCGAGGGCTAGCGGTAGGAGACTTGTGTGTGCCGGGGGCTGACACGACTTTGCTGTTGGGCTGGCCCTTTTTAGTTTTTGTTGCGCAATATCACTTGTGCTGAAAAGTTGCCACTTCAGCGCCGGAGATGTCAAAGCGTACTTCGCGTACTACACGTTGCGATTTCGAGCTGGAGCTGCGGAAGTGTACTTTGCATACTGCGCTTGTACTTAGCAGTTGCAACTCGAGTTGGAAGCGCGACGCGTTGCAAACGATAAGGGGCAAGTAAAAACGATCGCAGCAAACAGGACCGAACGGTTTACCGCAACACAAGCCCACGTGGCAGCTCCAAAAGAGCTGCGGGCCCCCGCCGTGCTGTACCAGCGGTACCGAAGGAGATTAATTGAGATGAAGGCTGCGTCCACCTATGTGTTGGTCTGTTTGACACAGGTCTCACGCGGGCTTGTTCATGCAAGCAAAAGCGCAACCTGCCAAGCAGACGCGGAACAGAAATGAAAAGTTGCCAAGGTGCTGGTCCAAGCTGCTGCAACTTCTGACAAATGTCACATAGCAGCGCGCAGTCCATCACGGCGAAGGCTTTGCAGCGAAAGGAAAGTGTGGCGCGTCACCACCGTTGTGTGTGTGTGTGTGATCGTTTCTGTGCGTGGCTTGCCCACGAAGTGCGGAGCCGAAGTAGCCCACTTGAAGCCTCCCCTACCCGAAGTTAAGCGTTGCGCCCAAGTAGAACATCCAAGCTAGAACATCAGCCATGGCCAAGTACATATGCACTGAGTTTGCTTCTCAGTCCAAAGCCATTGAAGAGGCGCGCAAGTTAGTGAAACATTGTTGCGTGTTGCGTTTCACGGAGTCTCGCAACTTGACGTTTTGCTTGGAACATAAGTCCGTTTAGCCGTGCGCTGTTTTGGCTTCTGACCAGCCGCATGACTGCGTGGAAAGCATGGACGAGCATATACGCTCGATCGGTGTGTTGAGTAAACTGCATGCTCTGATCAGGGTCTAGGGCCTGGAATATTTCTTAAACGTTGATGGGGGATAAGAAATTGTGAGCCAGAGTCTCAATTAGATTTCTTTTTCATTGTCACACAATGCTACCCCCTCTCCGTAAAGATCCCCCCAACAAAAAAGAGAGCCAACAAAAACGATCTATCTAAAAGACTGTCCAGCCCCAAAACAATTCCTTCCTAGGATGGACTTTTGCAACTCCCCGAAATCTGAAAAGGCATCTCGACCAGAGCCTTCGTTCGAGAACAACCCGGGCCTTACGTCTAAAACCGAAACCCGTGGAACTTCCACCGGCTCAAGAACGAATGGCCGAAACAACTGCTTGCGTCAACGAAAGTCGGCGCCGCGTGCAAGCAAACAAGCCATCGTCAAAAACAAGTGATACAACGCTGTCTCCTGCTGCCCCAGGTAACGCGCAAGCCTGATCACTGCCGCTGCCGACCCCAAGTTCCTGTGGCACGGCGCCCGACACCGAGCACATGGAAGACACGTGGCAGAAGCGTGATGCGTTGTTGCAAGTGGAAGGTTGCGCCCCGTTGCGCCAGGCAGCAGACCGCCAAGCGGAAATCAACTTCCGCAGGTTGTCGACAAGACTGCAGCTGGCGGAAGATCCAGCTTACAGGTTGCCGCGCGGCTGCCCCGCAAAGCGTCCGGCCCGCCCAAAATTGCGTTCGTTCCCGGGAACTGCCAACAATCTGACAAGCCAGCTCTGTCCAGAACGACACAAGGCTGCCTCCACCACCAAGAGCGGCTTGCTGGACGCCACACCCAGCGTTGCCCTTGTAACACGCGCCAAAGCTTCTTGCTTCGCGCTGCGACATCTGCGTAGTCGGCCGTGGTCGGTCTTGGAGTTAGGCGAGGGGAGAAAGCAATCGCGCTCAAACTTCAATCGCAGGCTTTCTGCAACCAATCCCAGCCATAGAAGCCAAACCTTCCTAGACGCAGAGAAGATTGCTGCAGTCCGGACAGATCACCCGTCCTGCCAGGCAAACCCCCGCAGTGTCGTCGACCGCCAAGACCTCTTACGCCCCCGCTGGCATCAGTCAGCGGCGCCTTCTTCTTTGGAGGCGCGCCGCGCTCCAGGTCTTGCTTGAGCACCGCTGCGCCGCACTTTCAGCTAAAAGCAAGCGCAGCGTAGCCCACCGCCGCTTTGAAGACACGGCAATCTGGCCCATAGCTGCTGACCTTTGCAGATGAAGACACGCCACAAAGAGGAACGCGAAACCAGCACAAACAACTGAAATACCCATTCAAAGCACCGGGGACCGACAAACCTGCACGCGCGCGCGCGAAAAACTCACTGGTGCATCTCTGAGCACACGCGCTCCCGAACACGCAAGACACACACACACAAGCCGCCAAACCCCCACGCCGGACTGCGGCCGGGCCCCCCGTCGTAAATGAGCACAGATAGAATCAATATGTAAACACGTGTGACAGGTAGAATAATTCCAAATTTGAATTTGAACACACATGTAGATGTCAGCAATGGCCGCGTGGTTGACGCCTCCATCCAAACAAGCCAGGTTGCAAAGAATCATAGGGCAGCCGCGCAGATCAAACTTTGTGGGGACGTTTCCTTACGCGAAAAAGTCTATCCCTATGAGGACCTATATTAAGGCGCCGGAGATTCCCTGAGTTGCGTGGACGAGCGCTTACAGGATGGCTGCGTAACTGGGGCTCGGACGCAGTCGGCTATGTAGCGGGTGCTTCGCAGCACGTCTGCCAAGCTTCGCTTGTCAGAGCGTGTTGAGCTGACGCGGGCGGTGCGGCTGATGCTGCTCTTCTTCAAGCACAACGTGAAAAGAGAGCGAGGTGTTGACTTCGGAGTGTCAGCGACTTTCCTTCGCCGCTGGCAGGCCCGCTCTTGTGGGACCTTTGCCTTCCTAACGGGAGGGCTGGCCTCAGCCTCAACACTGCCATCTCCACGTCAGCGTCCTCCGGCACCTCAGCGAACTTGCTGAGCTCCTGTGTAGTCGGCGTGCTGGTACCTCAGCCTCCTCCCTAAAGGGCTGAGGATCCTCAGCTATCCCCAACATGGCGGTCCAGCGATGGCTCACCTTAGCAGCCTGAAGGAACGTTGCTGGTGGCTGGGAAAGTTTTGGGGAAGGCACCCGTGGTGCAACGACACCTCCTCGTCGGCGCCGCGCTCGGGGGTGCTCATGAGTTTGAAGATGCCGTCCGCCAGGGTACGTGTCCACATCATATATGCCACACCCCGCCACGATAATTAAAGCCGCATTTCACGTCGTCTGGTTGTATACATACATGGTGTCGTTCACCGTAACCAGTTACGTATGAACACGTGTATCCATCCGGTTTCTTTCGCCTCGGGTGAAGCGCCGCCTCTTACAAGTAAGTCGAGTGGTGCATTGCGTGTACGTGTGGTGTGTGTGTGTGTTTGTGTGATAAATGGGCTAGAGAAGCCCCCCCCTTACCGTCCATCTCATCCGGCCTCTCATCTCTGTAGTTGGGAGACACCCTCGGGTCGGAGGCCCCTTGACAAGAAACCCAGCGCCTGCGCGGAGTCGGACACATCGCTGCGCTTGACGTGGTTGCGACGCTTGTGGCAGCGAAGGCAGCGCTGGTCGGGTCGTGGCAGTCATCTTCAAGGAACTGGCTGCGCGCCTGGGCAGAGCTAGGTGCAACGTTGAATCTGGGGTGGGTGCCCGAGAGCAGAACGCGGCTGACCAACTAAGACTTCGCTTGCTTTGGCCTGCAAGGGAGTTTTGCGCATGTGCTCAAGCGGTAGGCCGATGTCGATGAAGTGCGCCGGCCAACTCCGCAGGGCAAAAAAGGCTGTTGTGCAGGTTTGGCTCCCTGGTCCGTTGTGGCAAACAGGCGGGCGGGAAGACCAGACTCAGAGTAGAGGAGTGCTTGAAGAGCACGAGGAACAGCCGTAAGCAAAGCCAAGCTTTTGCAGTGCTCCTATCCTCCGGCCTTCTGTTGAACACTCCTCTATATAGTGTGTTCGTGTTGCTCCTCCAGCCCTCCTCTGGCGCTCCTGCGGCGACGCTACAAACCAATCCTTAGCCAGCCTTAAATCAACTCCAGACCAACCCTCAACCTAAACCCCCCAACCCTAACCAACTGCTTTATGATTGTTTGGGTTGGTTTAGGGCTTGTTTAGGGGTTGAGGCGGGAGTTTAGTGTTGACTTAGGGTTGGCTGGAAGTTATGCTTTTTGTTTCTTCGAGCAGAGGAGCAGTGAACAGAAAGGAGCACTAGGTTAGCGGCGCTAGAAGATGATTGGACGAGCGGCTGAGGAGCACTAGAGGTGGAAGTGTTCAGAAGAAGGCTGGAGGATTCTTGGAGGACTAGAACGCATTCTATCTTTTTGGAGGATTGCTAAAAGTACAGCTGCCCGAGGTTTGCTAGAAGAAGACAGGAGTTAGCAGCTGCCCCCCAAGATTGAGCCGTTGATGGCGTCGAAGGCTTGACGGTGCCGACTTGTTTGTCTGAAGACAGCGCGCAGACGGACTAAAAAAGAGATCGAGCGACGCGAAGAATGAAAACGGGTATGTGCCCTCCGAAAACTTTCAAGGGGCACTTGACTGTGCGTGGCAGAAGCTTCGCCAATAGAAGCAGAGTCAACCTTCTCAACTGCAGATTTTTGAAATGTTTTGTGAGCGCCGAAAAAGGCGCTCGCAAAAACATTTCAAAAACTGCAGTTGAGAAGGTTGGCCCTGCTTTTACTGGCGAAGCTTCGCTGGTAAACGGGTGTCGGGGGTTTCTGAGTATGGTTGGTTCCATTTGGTTTTGCTTTGCAGCGAGGCACCGACAAGGGAGGCGCCGAAAAGGGCACACACCCTCCAAAAAAAGACGGCCTGAGTGTGGTTCCAGACGGGCTTGCTGTTTGCAAAGGGCCCTGAAAAGGCCAATAGTTAGCAGGTGTCCTTTTGTATGGGAGTCCTGCAGAAGTCAGCAAATCAAGGGTCCAGCGAATCTCTATATAACAATATCCTTATTGCAGCGTAGTGCAAGGCAGCCCTTTTGGTGAAACACATTGGTTCGTATGTGTTCCAACTCATAGTTCGTTTTATGTTACATGTGCCTTTAAACTTGCGCTGCTAGTTTATGACGGTAGCCCCAGCCCTTTCTTTAACCTCAGGTGCTGGATAGACTTGTCTCTCTCTCGGTCTCTTGTTCTCGTTCTCGTTCTCGTTCTTTCTCTCTCTCGTTCTCTCTCCCTCTCTCTCTCTGTGTTTGTCTCGCTTGCCTTGTCTGTTTTTTGATCGTTTTTGCTTGGGCGTTTGTGTGTTTGTTTCCGTTTTGTTTGCGGTTTAGTTTGCGTTTGTTGCGCGGCTCTGCGTCTGGGTGTTGCTTTGCGTTTCTGGTTGGTTTGTTTATTCGTTGCCAGTTTCAAATCAAGCCTGCCTCAAAGCTTGTTGCTTCAGCACCCCTGCCAAACAACATCCGGAGCGGGCTTCCATTTGCGCTTGAGGTTTGAGAGTAAGTTGGCAAGAGGCACGTTGTAGGCTCTACATCTTCGCCCTCCAGCGTCTCTAGCTTGCGCTTCAGGGTTGTTGCCGACTCCTCCCAAGCGTCAGCCCCCTTTTTTGACGCCGTCGCAAGTCGACGCCGTGTCCAGCCGGCCAACCCTCAGACCCCGCCCGCATCTGCGCAGCGTGTTTTTCGATCATCAACACGTGCACGATTCCTGAAGAGGCATGCAGGTCTGGCCCAACAAAACATAGGCCTGCCTTCGCCCGCTACATGTTTTTTTTAACGTAGTGGTTTGCTGGCTGCTTGGCCATCTTCTGTTGTCGTCTGCCAAATTGCAGCTGCGTCTTGTGACAGGCGCAGTATGTGGGAGTGTTTTGAGTTCGCGTTTTTGCGCAAATTTAGTGGCTCGTGGCAGGCGCAGTCCTTTGGCGCTGAGCGCGCTCTGGAATACTTCTTGGCAGGCAGCGCTTTGAAAGCTTGATTGCAGATGTGATGTTGCGCAAGGAGCAGCGCTCCCAAAGAAAGCAGGCGAAGAAGACGGGCAAAGAACGCAAGAAGGCAGCAAAGAATCTGAGCGCGAAGATGGCACGCGAAGAGAGCGTCAGAGAAGGTGTGGCGCGATAGTAAGCAAAGAAGGTGCGCGAGGAAAGCGCGCGAAGAAGGCGCCAAAGAAGACTTGGCAATAGGGCAGGCAAAGACAGCGGCAAAACGACGCACCAGGAAAGCAGGCAAGGAAGAGCGCGCAAGAAGGGGTGCGAAGAAAGCAGCGGAGAACACGTGGCAAGTAAGCAGGCCAAGAAGACGTGCTTTAAGAACAAGCAAAGAAAGCGTGCCCCAGCAGCAAGCAAAACGAATTGCAAAGGGGAGAGAAATCACGCAAAGCAAGCGCGCGAAGAAAGCAGACAAGAAGACGCGCAAGGCGAACAAGGAAAGCAAGCAGAGGAGTAGGTCAAGGAACGCAAGTAAAGACAAGTCGCAAAGACAGCAAACAAAACAAGCGCACTAAGAAGCTTTGCAGAGCAGGCAAGTGAAGAAAGCGGCAAAGAAGACACGAAAAAAGGAGAACGAGCGAGGAAAACCCGCAAAGATAGCGCGCAAAGAAAACAAAATGGCGCGCGAGGAAAGCAGGCAATGAAAGCGCGCAAGCAAAGCACACAACAAAAAACACATGTAGAAAGCCGCAGAGAAGACGTGGCAAGACAGCAGGTCAAGGAGGCGCGACCAAAGGCAAACGAAGAACACTTGCAAACACTGCCAGCAGAGGAAGCATGAGAGAAGATGTGGAAGAAATCAAGCAAAGGAGGCTTGCAGATACAGTGCGCGAGGAAAGTTGACGAAGAAAGCGTGCTAGAGTAAGCAAAGAAAGCAGACAAAGAAGATGCGGAAAGAACGCAAGCAAAGAAAACATCCGAGTAGAGGTGCAAAACAAGCGGTCAAAGCAGACGCGCGTGGAAAGCAAACAAAGAAGACTTGCAAAGCAAGTGAGCAAAGAAAACAGCAGGGGAGGCACGTGACAAGGGCGAATGCTACAGAAAGCAAGCAAAGGAAGCAGTAGAACTCGCGTGGAAAGAACGCAAGAAAAGACTGCTGGGTAACGAGCTACGAGAGATGGTTGCTCGCGGGAGGATGTGTAGAAGAATCGTTCCACCGCGCGTTAGCGCAGCCCTGCAATTGGGGTAAGAATGTTGCGCGAAGCTGGGCGGGCGAATAAGGTTTGCCCTCATGAGGCGCCTCGTTTGCGGCGAACACTACGCGTGACAAGTTGCAAGAAAGGCATGGAGCGTTGCGCGACCACGCTAGAATTAAGGCTGGAGGCCATGTCAACGTAGGGTCGAACCAACTGAGACATGTAAAGAAATATGCAGCTACTGCCGCCCTGTGCTCAGTTGAGAAGAACTAAGTGCGGAGGCTTTGGTTGCCGAGCAGCGATCCATCGTCCACGACCTGCTGTCGCAGACGCAGTTGTTGGAGCTGCGGCAGGATCGTCTCACCCAGGAGACCCGCTTTGTCTAACTCAACACAAGAGGCGCGCAGTCGCACCAAAGGAGCCCACGAGGCAGGCCCATGATTGTTGTTGGCTGGTGTACTCAGGCGCTTCTTTGCGAACTTGCCTTTGCAGCCTGCTGGCTGCAAATCAATCCATGTGGGTGGACCTATCAAGGTGAAGGTGGCAAGAACAAGGATAGAGGGTGGACCTTTCCCGTTAGAGTTCATCCAAAGCCACGCGCTTCAGTGGTCGGTTTTGAGACTGCGCTCCAGGAAGCCCAGCGCGCGGGGGAGGAGATGAAAAGCCTGCGCGAGGGTCACCAACAGCTGCTCAAGGCGCAAAGGGGTTTTGTTGAGCTGGAGAAGCTAGGTCCAAACCCGCCTTGGTGAACTTGGAAGTTCCACCGCAGAACCCCCATCGAAAGTGAAGTTGCGCGTTGTTAGAGCGTCCTGCAGCTGCGCGAGTTGAAGCTCAATACGGTTGAGGTTTATCGCTCTGCGCGCGAAGTGTCCGCTGGTTAGCTGCTGGCTTGCTAGCGGTTTGCGCAGGGCAAACCGGAGGCGCGCGTTGTGGGACGTGAACACTTTTGCGTCCTACGTGCGCAGTCTGAAGGCGCGCGCTCTGGTAGCCTGACTAGCCGAGAGCAGCCGGGTCGCAAAGGGAAGCCCGCGCCTGTTCCGGACTTGGGATGGTTTTTGCGGTTGTCCGGCGAGGTTTGCGGGGATGCCTTTTGCTTGGCGGTTTTGTTGGGTGATGTGTTGGGGAAGATCATGGCAGATGCCTTGTGGCTTGGGGAGTTTTCAATGGACTTGTCGTTGGCAGGGTCTTCTGTCATTGCGGGTATCTTCGAGGCTGTCGGAAAACGTTGGGGAGCGTCTTTGGGGAGTTCTCTGGCAGGCTGCCTTTTGGGGAATGTTGTGTGGTGTGTTGTTCAGGGTGGCTTTCGCTGATGTCTCTGGAGTTTTGTTCTGCAGTATTTTAGGGGCACCCTTCGCAGAACGTCTTGGGAGATGTCTTTGGGATGACTTTGGATAGGTTTTTGGGGACGCTCGCGGCGATGTCTTTGGATGTGACTTGGGCACGTCTTTGCGATTTTTTGTTTGTGGGGGTATCTTAGCAGATGCTTGTGGGCATTTGTGGAAGAATGTCTTTCTAGTCATGTTGTCGGGGATGTCTTTGAAGCTGCCTTTGGGGTTGGACATTTCTGCATTCGGGATCGTGGCCTCTATCTGGTTTCTTAGCAGAGCCTCAAAGCGCGTTTTAGCCGCGCGCAAAAACTTTCATGAAAAACGGTCTTGCTTCCTCGCGACCAACTCACCCCAGCAAAGGACCATTGGGTGATGTTTTGCAGCCACTGTTGAAGCCATTGCCGTTTGCTGAACAGATTTCGCATTCTGCAGAGACTCTGCAATGTAGACCAGAAGTAGGACTGCGCCGGTTGCGTGCGTTTTGTGTCCGGGGCAAATGCAAGCTCTGAAGGGACTTGTGAAACCAAACGCTGCAGTGTTCACACGTTTGAGCAAAGTATGGCTGGGCCAGCAGGGAAAGCTGATGGTTACTTAATGTAGGTTGGTGAAGTAGAGTGATTGTTGCAAACGCTTCTTGGCCAAGCGAGCCGGGCCACTGTCCTCATTTCATGAAGCCAGGACTTTGGCAACTTGCAGGAAGAGTTTGGCGCAGCGCGAGATTGCCTGACCGGCGTCTGGTGCTGAGTTGACCGCTATTGTACTGCTCCGCGTGCTGGATGGATGGATGGATGGATGGATAAACGGATAAATGGAGATGGACCCACCCACCCACGCACCCACCCACCCACCCACCCACCCACCCACCCACCCACCCACCCACCCACCCACCCACCCACCCACCCACCCACCCACCCACCCACCCACCCAAACACCCAAACACCCAAACACTTAAGTACCCACACACCCGCGCCCGCACCCACACAGAAACACACCCACACACACACACCGACACCCGCACACACACCCACAACCACACCCACACCCACAACCACACCCACACCCACACCCGCACCGTGACACCCACGCACACACCCGCGCCGTGACACCCACACTCACACCCGCACCCGCACGCGCGCCTGCACACGCACGCTCCCGAACGTGCAAGCGCGCGCGATCGACACACGCGCGCGCACGTGCGCGCACTCGCGCACGCACAGGCGCACGCACACGCACACGCACACGCACACGCACACGCACACGCACACGCGCACGCACGCATGAACGAACGCATGCGCAAACGCAAGCACGTATACACACACACCCACCCACGCAGGCATGAACGAACGCATGCACGAACGCACGCACGTATTCACACCCACCCACGCACGCACACACACACACACACAACCACACAAACACACAAACACACAAATGGCTAATTGCATAAATAACAGTTCTAGCTTGCATTTGTGAAACGTGCTTGAGAATAGGCTTTTTAAGACAAGTGATTATGCAATCCGCACGCAAAATGGCCCATGCGTATTTTGAGCCGTTCGCTTCCAAGTGCAGGCTCGGGCAAAGTCGAACTCAGCATCCACAATTACCGCAGCGACCAGGAATGCTCCCTCCACCAAAGTCTCGAAGCAACCAAATATGAAAAATTTGCGCGGTGAACACTGGTGCTGCGGCACGGCTGCTACAGGGCAACTATGGGTCATCTTTTGCAATACTGCACGGCAGTACTCAACCCCCTCCCCGCACGCAAAATTGCCCATGCGTATTTTAAGCCGTTCGTTTCCAAGTGCAGGCTCGGGCAAAGTCGAACTCAGCATCCACAATTACCGCAGCGACCAGGAATGCTCCCTCCACCAAAGTCTCGAAGCAACCAAATATGAAAAATTTGCGCGGTGAACACTGGTGCTGCGGCACGGCTGCTACAGGGCAACTATGGGTCATCTTTTGCAATACTGCACGGCAGTACTCAACCCCCTCCCCGCACGCAAAATTGCCCATGCGTATTTTAAGCCGTTCGTTTCCAAGTGCAGGCTCGGGCAAAGTCGAACTCAGCATCCACAATTACCGCAGCGACCAGGAATGCTCCCTCCACCAAAGTCTCGAAGCAACCAAATATGAAAAAATTGCGCGGTGAGCACTGGTACTGCGGCACGGCTGCCACAGGGCAACTATGGGTCATCTTTTGCAATACTGCACGGCAGTACTCAACCAACCCCCTCCCCCCCCCCACCCCTCTCAATCCTTATTCTCTGTCCGCAACCAGCTCCTTATTCTCAAGGAGCGTCCGCAATTAATTTTTTTATTTTCAAGGAGCGTCCGTCCTTATTCTCAACCAGAGTTGGCAATTTGTTCTCTCAAGGAGCGTCCGCAATTAATTCCTTTTTCCCGAGGCCGCCATGAATTCCTTATTTCCAAGAAGCGTCCGTAATTTATTCCTTATTCTCCAGGAGCGCCCGCGATAATTCCCTATCCTCAAGGAGCGTCCGCAATTAATTCCTTATTCCCAAGAAGCATCCGCAATTACTTCCTTATTCTCAAAAAGCGTCTGCGTATTAATTCCTTATTCTCAAGCAGAGTCTGCAATGGATTCCGTATTCTCAAGCACCGTCAGCAAATACTGCCTTTTTCTCAAGAAGCGTCGTCAAGGAGCGTCGACCGCAACCACTTCCTCATTCTCAAGAAGCGTCCGCAATTCATTCCAATTTCTCAAAGGCCGGGTTGATTCCCCAATCTTTTCAACCATCGTTCTTTTTAGAACCCAGCTGTTTCCGCTGGGGCTCAGATGGTTTTCTGGAAAGAAGGATCGGGAAGTGTCCCCTAGATTTATTCCATATTGTCAAGGAGCCTCCGCAATTAATTCCGTGTTCTCAAGGAGCGCCCGCAATTAATTCCAAATTCTCAAGGAGCCCAAGTAATTCCTTATTCTGAAGGAGCGTCTGCAATTGGTTCCTTGATCTCAAGGAGGGGTCGCAAGTAATTTCCTATTCTCAAGGAGCGTCCGCGATTAACCCCTAATTTTTTAGCCAGCCGGACCAATTTCAATGTTTAGGCCATGGACACTAACCTTGCGCACTGGCAAAGCTGTTTGTGCGAGGAAGTTACGAGCAAAAATATTGCTTTGTAGCCAATTACCGCGCCCACTCTCCCGACACTCTGGCTTTGTAAGCGAATTTCTTATGTGCAAGCAACAATCCTTTTTCGCAGAATAACCTTAATGACTCGACAAGCAAAAATCCTTAATGACAAGCACAAATCCTTAGTTGCAAGCAGGTGCTTGTAATCAAGATTTTTTTGCTTTTGTGTCCCCCACATTTTAGGAAAAGCTTTGAAAATCCTGGCTTTGAACCGAAAACTGGGGGACAGAATTGAGGGTCTGTCCCCCAGTCTTCGGTTCAAAACCAGGAATTCCGGCTTCTTTTTTTGAAAAGTCGGGGACACACAAAAGCAAACTCCCTAATTACAAGCACCTGCTTGTAATTAAGGAACTTTGTCCTTGTCATCAAGAAATTGTGCGTAGCAAAAACCCTTGATTACAAGCACCTGCTTGTAATTAAGGAATTTTGCTTGTCGTTAAGGGTGTTTTTTCTGCAAAGAAGGATTTTTGCTTGCGAATAATTTTTTGCCTGCAAATTAGGATTTGTGCTCATAAATCCGCATTTTTGATGAAAATAAGGCTTCCTGCCTATCCGATTCGAGTTTTCCTCGCGCAAACTGCTTTTCCAGTGCGCAAGTCTAGCGTCCGGCTGGCTGAGAATAAGGAATTAATTGCGGACGCTCCTTGAGAGCACAAAAGACAAACACCCTGACTTACAAGATGCTTGCTTGTCAAAAATCCTTAATTACAAGCACCTGCGTGTAATCAAGGAACTTTGTGCTTGTCATGAATGAATTTTGTGTGGCAAAAACCCTTGATTACAAGCACTTGCTTGTAATTAAGGAATTTTGCTTGTCATGAAGGAGTTCTGCCTGTCAAAATCCTGAATTACAAGCACCTACTTGTAATTAAGGATTTTGCTTGTCATTCAGGATGTGTGCTTATCATTAAGGATTTGTGCTTGTCATTAAAGATTCTTGCTCGTCAAACAACTTATTTACAAGCACCTGCTTGTACTTAAGGATTTGTGCTTGTCCCTCAGGATTTTTGCTTGTCATTAAGGATTTGTGCTTGTCATTAAGGTTTTTGTTTCTGCGAGAAAGGATTTTGCTTGCGATGAAGGATTGTGCATGTTTCCTGTAAATAAAGGTTCTTGCTTATCGGATTCGTGTAACTGCTTTACCAGTGCGAAGGGCTAGCGTCCATGGCCTAGAGATTGAAATTGGTCCGGCTGGCTCAGAATAAAGAAGTAATTGCGGACGCTCCTTGAGAATCAGGAATTTGTTGGGGATGCTCGTTGCAAAATAAGGAATTAATTGGTTCCGCTCCTTGAGAATAAGGATTCCGGGGTGCGAGGGGGGTGGGGGGGTGGGAGAGGGCGTTTTGAGCAGAGAATCTTGAGGAAAGAGTCTCCGATTCCAACTGGTGCCGGAACGGCTTAACGCAGTGATTACAAGCAACCAGTTTAAAAACCCTGGGTTTGTGTCCCCTACGGCGCCCCCCAAGCCTGAGTTTCGAGGAAGCAACTATTAACAAGGCCCTCCAATTCACACCTATGCCTAAACGGACTAGGGTTGCAAAACGCCGGAAACCACAAACCTTATTCGCAACCACCCCTTCTTATTCGCAGGGTTTATGCAATTTGCCACACACAAACGCACAAACACACAAGCGCACACACACAAACGCACAAACACACAAACACACAAACACACAAACGCACAAACACACCAACACACAAACACACAAACACACAAACGCACAAACACACAAACACACAAAAAACAAACACACAAACACACAAACACACAAACACACACACACACACAAACACAAACACACAAACACACAAACGCACAAACACACAAACATGCAAACACACAAACATGCAAACACACAAACACTCAAACACACAAACACAAAAGCACACAACACACACACAAGCACAAACACACAAACACAGAAACACAGAAACACAGAAACACAGAAACACAGAACCACAGAAACACAGAAACACAGAAACACACAAACACACAAACACACAAACACACAAACACAGCAACACACAAAGTCACAAAGACACAAAGACACAACACACACTAACACACAAACACAAACACACAAACACACAAACACACAAACACACAAACACACAAAGACACAACACACACACACACAAACACACAAGCACACAAAGAAACGCACAAACACACCAACACACACACAAACACAGAAACACAGAAACACACAAACACACAAACACACAACCACACAACCACACAAACACACAAACACACAACCACACACAAACACACACACACACATCAACACACAAACACATACAAACACAGACACAAACACAGACACAGACACGGACACAGACACGGACACGGACACGGACACGGACACGGACACGGACACGGACACGGACACAGACACAGACACAGACGCAGACACAGACACAGACACAGACACAGACACAGACACAGACACAGACACAGACACAGACACAGACACAGACACAAACACAAACACAAACACAAACACACAAAAAACAATCACAAACACAAACAAATACAAACACAAACGCACATACGCGTGCCCGCACGCGCGCACGTTCGCC